GCCCTGCGAAAGGGGGCATAAAATTCATTGTTATGGTTACTGGGCATAAGTCAGTCAGCCGGGGTGGAGGAGGAGGAGTCTTCATAGACGCAGTCTTCTGGCCCTCATTTCGTTAATCAGCCCTGAGTAAGTCAGTCCAGCGCACATGATACTTATTACACATGCTACTTGCTACTTGCTACTTGCTACTTACTACTACTTACTTCTTACAGGGGCGGTGAACAGAAGGGGGTGGTGGCTTCTTGGGGGAACAGGGAACAGTCGTTGTACATCCACTTGGGCTGAATTCCATTATAACCCAAGGGTGCACTCGGCCAGATTGGGTTGGTCAAAGGATTCTGGACTCCTTGAGGCGGGGGATCATCGTACAGTGCGTGCCAGGGGTGTATGTCGAGGTTTCAGAGATCTCCAACGAATGTTGGGAATTTCATTTCAAGCAATCAAAGAAAATTACTCACCGGAAGCAGGGGACTTTGATGTAAGACAATGGAGACTCCAGAGCACAGCCCATGTTAATTGAAGCTTACAAATCTAATTACGAGTAGGGGCCAACTATTGGATTGGAAACAACGCAATATATGATGGAAAAATTTCTGAAATATATACGATAATATGGATCGAAGAGGAAAGGTTCTAGCTGCATGGGCCGCACTGTAGCTTACCCCACCCCGGAAAAACCATCCCCTTGGCCTGTTTCTGTTTTATGTGTGCGCGCATTTCCCATTTTCTTTGCTCGTTTCGATTTCGTTACGTAGACACTTTCGCTTTATGGTTTTCCTTACTTTTACTTTTTATTTACGCCTTCCAAAGATCATCGCTCTGTCTCTCTCCACAGCTCACTCTCCCCCCTCCCCCTTTCTCTGAGCCCCAATCTCTATGTCTCTTTCTCTCTCTCTCTCTCTCTGTCTCTCTCTCCCTGTTGCCCTCTCTGTCGTTGATATGAGATGTGTTTTTTTGTATAGTGTGTGTTTGAAAACCCGAGCCCAAAACCCTGGAAAGTGCCAAGAAAAAAGAAAACAGAAAATCTATATGAGAAAGACACCCAGAAATCCAAAAGTAAACGCCTCACTTAAAGATTGACCTCAGCTAATTCAAACGTAAAAACTCTGCCAATTTGGACCCAACATCCCAACAGAACTCACGCCAACCAAACCAAACCAAACCAAACCAAAAATATATCTATACTGTGCCAATTGTGATGAACGTAATGCAAAAATCTGCCTCTGCCTCTCACCAAAATCACCACAAAACTAAAACAGCAAATATATACAATGCGTAATGCAAGATCTTAATGCCAAACCAAATGTTAAGCAATTAAGCAATTTCCAAAAAGACAGCAAAACAAGCTAAAAGTGAAACACGCCAAAAGCACAGGACACGAACAAACACCAAGTCACGATCACGATCACGAGCTCACCAAAGTCACGTTTCACCAAAAGTCACCAAAGTCACGAATCAGCATCTAATTAGCAAATGCCGAAAATAAGCTCACACACGCCAGCACACTATGAAAGCCAGTAATCCCGATTTAACTCCCAAGAAATCCCGATAATATCCTGGAAATCTCTGAGGCATTCAAAACTCTTTTTTATATGCCGAAAAGTAGGCAATCTATTTGTAGTTTTTGAGTCTTAGAAGTTCATTTCTTATTAAAAAAACTTAATATATTTTTGAAAATTAAGACATGATATGAACTTAATTAAACATTTTTAGTTCGTTTTGTTAAATTCGGAATAAAATGTAAACATTTTGTAGTTCTCATAGTACTCCAAATTAGTTTAATAATAAATCCTATTATTATTGATATTATCGGAAACTTTCTCTTTCTAATATTTTAATAACTCTTTGTACCTGTTATACTTTCGAATAATGTATATCGAGCACGGAGATTTCCGGACTTCCTGAAAACTAAATTAGTTTCCCAAACTCACGCTCTATCTCTGTCTCACGAATCACGCCGCTCTATCTCTCTCTGTCACGTTACTCTCACAATCACTCTGTCTCTATCCGAAAGCCCGAACCCCCTCTCTATCTCTCTCTACTCACTTTGGAATGGCCAATTAAATCGCCGTCGGCTGCCAAAACTGAAGACCCACAAATTTCTCTCTCTGTATCTGTAAATGCATAAGTACACTGAAACTAAATCGAAGTTAAATTAAATGCCAACAACTAAAGCAAAAGAAATTGAACTAAAATAAACCTATATAAACCTACTCACTATCTATCTCTCTCGATCACTCAATCACGGATTCACTTACTCACCAAAAACAAACTCTGTCTCTCTCTCTCTCTCACGCAATCTCACGACCCCACCCAAAAACAAAAAAAAAATGTATGAAAATGCAAGAAAAAAAAGAAAGAAAATCAAACGAAAAGCAAGCGCTACCCAAAGCAAAACCAAAACCAAACCAAAACAGAATAAAGCAACTACAAGATAATAAACCACACTCTCTATATTTATAAACATGTATGTATCTCTGTCAGCCTTAAGTATCGTATCGTATATATTTAACAAGAAAGTAAACCGAAACCAGCAAAGAAATAAACCGCAACCAACAAACAAGTCCAAACTACAAACTCCAAACTCCAAACTCCAAACTACAAACTCGAAACTCGAAACTCGAAACCAAAAACTCCAAACTACAAGATACAAATGCCAGACTCCACAGCAACAATAACCAGTAAAACAACAACAGCAACCACAGAGATCCAACAGAAACAAAGCAAACTATATCCGAACCATATCAATATCTTTATATAACTAATAGCTAGATGTATGCTCTCAGCCCCAGATGTAATTGACCTCGTTGCGATTTTGTGTTTCAAAATTAACCAGAGCGAAGTATACAAGACCTAAAAACCCAAAACTTGTTATAACTAAATTGAAATTGTAAAGCTAAATGAAAAAAAAGAAGAAATGGTAGAGCTAAATAAAGAAAATATCTGAAAGTAAGCCTAGGCCCAGGTGGAAGACAACCTCTATCTGGGCTGCTAAAATATAATTTAAAATATAAAATATAAAATCAGAACTTACGTATTTAAGCATAGAACCCAGCTTTGCGCGCTATCTGTCTCTCTATCTTTGCCACACACACACACACTGTCTCTTTCACTCTCTCAGTTAATATATACGCCTATATATATAATATATGTATCTCTCTCGCTCTCTATGTCTATTTGTCTCACTCTAACTTGTGTATTGTGTTTGATTTTACCTAAAAACTAGATTAAACGTAATCCGATTTTTAACCATCTTATATAAGCAGTTCTCGTACATTTTCGCCACATTCAATTCAATTCAATTCAATTCAATTCAACTCAATTCAATTCAATTTCAAACTCAACTCACCTAGATTTCTCACCACGTATTAATACTTTAATTCAATTAACATTCAACTACTTATATATTCAATTTGTTTCTATATTGTACTCACTCTCACTCGATCTCACTCTATCTCTGTTTCGCTCGCTCTCGCGTTCTCAACTTCACCACTCTAACACACCACCACCAAAGACACCACTAAACCACTAAGCCACCCAACCACCCAGATCACAGATCACAGATCACAGGTCACAGATCACAACTCACCACCAAGTGGCACCACTGATCACTGATCGATCACTAATCACTACTGGTCACTGATCACAGCAGTATTCAGTATTCACCTCTTAAAGTATGTCTCTCACCACAGCTCAGCTCACGAAACTCACCTCGCTAAAGCCGCCACAAACGAACCACCACTCCAAATTTCAATTCAACTAAAACCACTGAACTTAAACCACTCACTTAACCACTCAGCCAATCAGTCTGCATTCCAAATCGATTCTAAATCAAATCAATTCTGAACCAAGCCATTATCGAAATTTCACAGGTCTCTCTCCCTCTTAACTCTGTGTTTTCTTTTGATTTCTCAGCCATAACTAGTCAGACAGTCAGTCAGTCAGTCAGTCGAGCGATTACATTTTGATAAATATCGATTAAGTGGTCATCGTTAAATCCGTCTATCAGTCGAAACAATTCCAATTCGATAACAAAATCTGCAGCGTACATTGATTGGCTTAAGTAAAAATTCCAACATGCCGGCCAATTGGTCAATATTTCCTTCTCCGAAAGAAGTCCTCATCTCTAACGATCTGTAAATTATATGCAAAATCCGCCTCAAATGCAAAATGCAAAATGCAAAACAAAAAAGAAACCCGAAAATTTGCATTCCCAGCAGTTCAATCACTTTTCGTTTTTCTCACACCTCTCTCTCTCTCGCTCTCTCTTTATCTCTTTCTATCTCTTGCTCATACACATAAAACTTAGTTTTTAGTTTCCTTGAGTTTTGTTTTGAAACCAGAAAAGAAAGGAATGTTAAAGCTAGCTGAGGAAGTCGAAACAATTGCTGTGACACCTTACTATACTTACCTGCCATAAGAAAAACAAAAGCCAAACCGAAATGAATTCGAGAATTCTTCCAAAAGCAAATTGTATTTATTTCGCATTAATCTTAAAACTCCCGACTTCGCCTGCAACTTGAACGATATGTGTACTAAATATAATATATTGGTGATGCAAAAGATATTCTCAGATCATATATAGCTTCAGGTTGCAGACGGAGGGGAAGCCCTCTATTTATCGATAAGTGAGTTAGCTAATTGTAAGGCCCCCTGAAAGCGGAAATGAAATTACTTATGAATGTACATAACCAGATATATAACCCCATATGATAAAGCACCCGAGAGCAGTCCTCTCGTTTTCATTCAGAACAGACATATAGCAAACGTTTTGCGTTCCAGAGATTTCTCTCATCATCCGTTTTCGTTTAACTATTTTGGGTTACCTTTTGCGTTTCGACTTATGTAACTTAAACATCTGCCAAGACATCCAATAATAATGCTCTCTCTCTTCGTCCCCACCGAAAAAACAACCAACATCTTTGAAACAACCAACCACCCAATAAATCACACACAAAACACGATTACTTCCGCGATAACGCATCGATAACGGACAACAGGTGTCTCATGTTAAAATCGATTCACCTGTTTTTCGCCTGCACACCAACGCAACGGTTATATTACTGATCACATTCTCGATTGCTGTGACGACGCGGCAGTACGTAGGAAATCCCATAGACTGTGTACATACAAGGTGAGCGATCGCGAAAGCGCAAATCGATAACTTTACCCGATTAATGCCGCTCTCTTTCGATTGCAGAGACATTCCCGAAGATGTTCTCAACACATATTGTTGGATACACTCAACGTATACAGTGGTCGACGCGTTTATGAAGAAGCAAGGTTCCGAGGTGCCTTTTCCCGGAGTTCACAATTCACAGGGCCGCGGGCCTCTAACAATAAAGCACACAAAATATTATCAATGGGTAGCGTTTACACTATTTTTTCAGGTAAGTCACTTTGAGAACCTAAACGGCTTTTATAAAAAGCTTTATCCTTTGGTAAAGGAACTGTCTAAAGGTTGGGGAAAGCTTTCCGTGGGCAGGCAACTTTGGGAAGTTCATCGCATCCACCTCCGCTTTTATCCACCTAACAAGTTTCACAACTTCGGGAAACTTTTGCGAAGCTTTTGAAATAAATTTATTTATAAATCCTTAACTAAGGACCAACGGAAACTTTGTTTGCTGTTTATGTTTACTTCATGGTTTTAATTTAACAAATGTCTCGTGAAACCTAAAAATATGTTCAAAATTATTTTTTAACATTATGTTTCAAACTTGCAAAGACTTGAAAAACTTGCGAGATGCTTTTGGACTTCCTGAGAAAGTCTTAGAAACGCTTTAAGCTTTGAAGCAAAGCAAAAGTTGTCTTAATCTTTCAACAGAAACTTCCTTTTGTATTTCAACTGCCAAAATATTAATTTTAATATTTAAAACACCTCCACATCCCATTTCGAAAGCTCAAATTAACATTGATTTTCGAAATAAATTATCTTATAAAAAAATTAAAATAGATAAGAATTATTGTTTCTTCATGATAAGGCAAGCTTTTAAAATATAAAGCAAAGGCAAAGAGGTAACTCATAAGGCTCAGACCCTAATATCAAATCCCAAAATACTATTAATCCCTCTTAGTTGGCTTTTTGGCATGAAACGCAAGAAGAACCCCGTCTAGCCGATCCCTGGGGAAAAGTGGAAATGGTTGTCACCGCCGCAGCACCAACAATCAGCCACGTCAACTGCCAACTGGCAACAATGACCTTTCGCACTTTTCGAGGCGTTGTCCCCTTTGTTTCACTGTAACTCCGTAGAATCGAGTATATGATGCATTAATGCGGCACAGACGCTGCAGTTGCCCCTGCCCCTGCCCCTGCCCGTGTTGCATGTTGCTGTTGCTGCGGGGCAGCGATGCTGCCACTGCTACTGCACCGGAAAAAGATGCAAGAACTATTTTGGGACGCTTCGCTTTCTCCAGTTTTTCCAGCTCTGTGCGCTCTGTTATTATATTTTGTCTGCGCTATTTTTGTTAAAAACGAAAAAAAAAAACAACTCAGAATGCAATCGCTTGACCCCGTTTAAACCCGAACCTATGGGCGGGGCCATGTATTTTCCATCCAATTTTCCGAACTCTTCCCAATACGAGAACGCGAACGTCTTTTATCAATTTTATGCGCAGTGTGCTTGATATTTCCATTAATTTTATTTATTTACGCCACCGTCCCGCTGGGCGAGAGGGTGCTGAAAAAATTATAATTTATGTGGCGAGTGTGGTCCAGGGGGGAGGTGCACCCCTGATCCCCACCTGCCGCCCCCGGGGGAATACCCAAATAAAACAAAAAAGTAAAAAAAAAAACATAACAAGCGATTTATACGAGAGCTCGTTAAAGCGCTTTTGATATCCAATCCAATCCCATCCAACAAATCATATTTCTCTCCGATCGCAACAAGAACTGACGCAACCATTTGACATCGCTCATAAAATCCTCGTGTGCGGTTCCCTGTCGATCATAAAATCATAATGATAAAGCTATAGTGCTATCGGGGGAGGTGTCGAAAGGGGGTCCCAGGGGGGGCGGCGGTTCGCCAACAAACCATCGGGCAGTCCATCAAAGTGTTTGTCGGAAACGAGAAACTACATGAAAGTGGACGGGGAAACGGCTCCCCAGATCTTTATCTGCCCAATAACCACGAGTTTTATGGGATCACAGTTCCCTTGTATCTGGCCAAAGGAACAACTTAATTTGCTTGCTTTTATTTTTTAATTTTCTCTCAGGAAAGAAATGTGTGTCTTGCCCAGAAAAGTGAACAGAATGAATATCTTAGCCCTCAGAGAGAAATGAAAAAACAGTTGCTACTCCAAGAAAATGCAAAAAAGGGCATTTTTTTTTTAAAAGAACCTTCAGAGATGTAATAATGAATCAAAGGCAGCAATAAATGCTTTCAGCACATACTGCTTAGCACAGAGAAATTACTTTCGTTAGGCCCTTAATTCTGCAATAACCTCTAACAACGAACGACACCTCTCAAGTCCAAGCGATAATTAACATGTTTTTTGCGGCGGGGCTCCTCCCTTTGATTTTAATGCATCATTTGGCGCTGGGCCCAATGGCGGGAAATCGGAAAAGTACCCATGCATTTCCCATCCGGGTAATGTTTTTCGGGTGCATTAATGAGGCAAGGCAAGGCTTTTTCCGGACATTGTCTACGCCGCTTCAATGTCTGCCAGAATCCCCGGAAAACCAGGGCCAAAAAAAAACATCGCCTAATGGCCGAATTATGCAGCGGGATCCGCCATTGTCTCAAGACGAAGACATTTTCGGGTCTGAGTATGCTAGGCGACTCACGTAGTGCCTCAAACCAATTGAATTTTGATGGCCAGCCTCCAGTTGCCATTCTCAATTTTGAGGCACTTCCTCCGGCCGACTCACACCCATTTTTGTGGCGACTGCGGCAGCTGCCGAGATTCAGATACAAATACGGAACGGGATTCAGATACAGCTACAGTCGAGGGCGAACTAATAGGATCGATGGGGAGTTTAATTTGTATGTAAAATGGTTTGGAAATGAAGCTTTCAAATTAAGAATATTAAGGGTAAGCTTCTGAGAAAGGAGTTTTGGAAAAGTGCTTTAGAACATAGAAATGTGGCTAATATTTAGATATTTGATTTGGTTGCCCTATTATTGTGACCAGCAGTGTGCCAAGGCAGCTGGTCGCACTGGGACAACTTAATCAAATCGGCCAGCGGATATGTCAGACAGTTTTTATGCCCACCACTCCAGCTGTGCTCGTCCTCATAAAACTCCAATTGATATGCCCCGCATGATGTCTAGGCGCAGGAATCAAAATACGCATAAATCCCGGCTCTGGCTCTCGCCACGTCACATGTCCTGCCACAGGACAAAGGGCTCCGGCCGCCTGATTGCAGCAATAATGAGCGGAAATCACAACAATGCAGAGCGGAAACCCTTCACTCGTGCACTGCGAGAAATAAAATATATATATTTTTGATTTCTTAAAATGTTTCAAAAATAAACAGAAAATTCATGCAGTCGCCCGTGCCTGACAGGAGGACAAATTTAAGAAGAATTATACGGAAATCAAGAAATTATGAGTCAAATTCCAAAGAAACGTGAAACAGTTCATAATTTATATAAAAAATCAAGAGATTCATAAGCACTTTAGAAGTCTCTATAGTTTCTCTGAGTGTACTTTTTGCACTTCCTCTTCCCCAAGGAGTTTGCAGCTCCAAGTCAGACGACGACTCCTTGTGACGTCGCTTCAAATCATTGGATATCGGGTCTTCGTAGGGTTGTCGCTGTCGTTTTCGTTGTCACTCGCAGTCTGCTTTCTCCTTTCTCCACACTCCTTTCTCCGTTCTCTGTCCCGCCTCTTTATCCGCCTCGTTGTCGCTTTCGTTGTCATTCGCGAGCGTGCGAGAAATAAATACGAATATGTAAATAGTTTGCCCAAATGCACAGTGGTTCGAAATGATTCGTTTTTAGAAGGAAAAACCATAAGAAAAACTTTGGTTTAGGAATTGGAAGTTTGTATAAAAGCTTATTTAATTACTAGTAATGGGTAATTTAATTGCCTAAATGGCTACAGAAATGAATCTTCTTCCATCTGAAATAACATTAATACATGCTTAAAGCGTTACGAGTCGGCTTTCTTTTAAGCGAAGTGGGTTTCCTAGGATTGATCACATTAAAATATTTCAAATAAAAGAATCTTTATTGATACAAAAGAAAGTAACAGATATCATTTTTTGAAAGAATAAGGTTGTTACTTACACTCTTAAGTTTAAATACTAAAAATATGCAAAATCTAACAATTTATTTACACGAGTTTTGGGAATATTTTGACCCACCATCCTTAGCCAAGTTTCGCTGCCATTCGGACTTCTAACTCGAAGAAGGGATAGGGATTTATTTAGACGGTGGAAGGGTGTCTTTAGGCCTTTTGTTTTAGGCTTTTGGGCCTGGCCACAGATTGTTGCAACTACCATTGTTGTTTATGGCCGGCGAGTGCAGCTCCTGGTTTTCTCTAAACCCCACCCCCTCGTATTTTCCGCCCCAGTTTCCCCCCACCCGCGACCGCTTTTCCTCCGCCGGAAGTGTGCGTGTCTCGCGAGCAGAGAACGTGTTGCTGCCGCCCAAAAATTGTTGGCAGCGCAGAGATCTGCTCTCTGCATTTGGCCCGCTCTCTCTTTCTGGCTTTTCCTCTCTCCATCTCTCTGGCCGTCAGCTGTGGCCAGGCCATATTCCGAGTGGCTTTTCTTGGCCAATGCCCGCCAGTGTCTGTTGCGTTGGCAAAGTGAACGCGCGCGTCTTTTCCTGCTCCTGCTGCTCCAAAGTCTGCTCCAACAGTCTCTCCGCCCGAACTGATCTCGAGGAAAACCCCTGACGAAAGAAACCTAAATCCGGGAAAACTCCATTTTCCGATAATTCTTTTTTTTTCTGTAACTGCAAAATCCATCGAAGTTGTTTTTTGTTTTTTAACCAGTGAACGATCGAAAAATGTGAGGTGCCCAGGTCACCCGATTGAAACGTCGACCATGTCGGACACGTGACCCGCGCTTGTCCCGCGCGATAATACCGATAACAAACGCCGATTAAGCCGACTAAGCCGATAACTCCGATAACTAAAGCCAGGCAGCAAGTGTGAGATTTCGAAACGAACCGAAAAACCGTGCAAACAAAAACCCAGAGTTTTCTATATTTTCACAACACCCACGAAAGATCATTGACTGCATTGCGGGTTCATAACATACGAGTATTGTAGGAAGCCACATGCCCGCAGAATCAGAATTTATATTTATATAGACACGTATATATAGTATTGTAGGGGCTGTGTGCAGGCCACCGCTTGATCATAATTAACTCTTACAAAGTAAATAAACCAACTGCGAATTCGGGGGCCATGTGTTGCCCCCGAAACCGAAAACCGAAAA